AATCTTGCCAGGTATAATAATCCTGGTTGAAATTGTTTTTCATTGAACAGTTTGACTATATTTTCCCATTCTTTGTTTCTGATGAGAGGTCCGATGTTAACTTGATGGGATAACCTTTGTAAGTAACTTGACCTTTCTCTCTTGGCAATTTTAGTATCTTGTCTTTGTGGTTTTGGCCAGTCCAGCTATGGTGTGTGTTGGAGAAGATCTTCTTGGGTTAATTCTATTTGAAGTCCTTTGTATTTCTTGGGTCTGGATATTTGAATAGCTCTTTAGGTTTGGAAAGTTTTCTTCTAGGACTTCATGGAATAGATTATCAGTACCCTTAATATTTTTTTCACCTTCTAGGATACCAATTTATCCGGATGTGTGGGCACCTAATAGTATCTAGTATTTCTCGTATATTATCTTCATTTTACTTGGTGGTTTTCTCCGTCTTTTTGATGATATTTTTCTAGGTCAGAGGTTTTGTCTTCTACATTTGAGAGTCAATCTTCTGTGTGATCTAAGCTGCTTTTAATACTTTTGAGGGAGATTTTAATTTCCTATATCACAGTCTTCATCTCTAACAATTCTGTTTGATTCTTTTTTATGTTGTGTATTTCTTTCAAATCATGAAAGGACTTCATCTCCTGGAGTTGTCTCCTCTTGCATCTCATTTAGTTTTGTCACTATAAATATTCGGAATTGTTTATCTGATATTTCCACAAGTTCCATTGCGTTGTCTTTGGATGATGAGGAATTGATGTTTTCCTTTGGGGGAGAGATATTTTCTTGGTTGCTCATATTTCTTGTGCCTCTGTGATGGTTTCTAAGTCATCTGGTAATTTAGATGTTCCTTCCTAAATTCTTCGAGTTAATTCAGAGTGTTCAAAGGTATGTAGGAGTAGGTGATTGGCGATATATATATATATTCGACAGGTTTTTGCTGTAGGGCGCGTTGCTGTAGGGCGCGTGTGCTCGCCAAAAAGACAGAGAGAGACAGACAGAAAGCAAGAAAACACCTCCCAGAGAGGATGGCCACGCTGCAATCCCTTCTCCTCCATTCTCCTCTTGGGATCTTGGGCACGCACGCACACACGCCCAGCGTGAGTTTAAGCCACTGGGTCCGGGACGTGAACCGCAGTCGACTACAAGGAAGTCCAGCGACATAGCCATTACGCTAACTGCTGGTCCCTAGTCAATTTTTTTTTTATGCTTATCTGAAAGCCAACTATGTGCCATTTATTGGAGTGGCATCTTTTCCCCACTGCACTGTCACTTGTCATAGTCAAGTGATTCTCTTGGCCTGCCTCTGCGGTATAGCTGTGGTGTACTGAACCGAAGTGCCGGAAGTGACGTGGCTGACTGGCTCCGCTCCCCAGCCTGGCTGACCTGAGCACACTGAGAACGTGTGCACCTAAGACCTGAGGAGCTGGAGCCTGGTAGACAGGACCGTGGCACGAGCAGACCCTGTTGCGGGTCGCTTCTCTCTCCTTCCCTACCTTTTCAAAACTCTCTTTCTGTCCTCCCTCCCTCTCTCTCTCTCTCTCTCTCTCTCTCTCTCATGTACAGAGCATATACTCTCTATCACACATTTTTTATATAATTAAAAATAAACAGTAAATTCTCAGTGTGGTTTTGATTTATGAGTCAGGTTGACCATCTGTTTTGTTTAATGTCTATTTGCATTTATGTTTCTGTGAACTGCCTGTACTTTATCCCATTTTTATTGAACTCTTGTTCTTTTCTTTGTTACCCTTTTTTTTTCATAGCCAGAGGTCATGTGTACTTGCCAGAGAGAGATAGAGAGACAGAGAGAAGGAGAGAGAGAAAGCACTTCTCCCAGTGGGACGTGGTCGTATGCAGTCTCTTGTCCATTTCTCCATCCTTTCAGGATTTGGGGCACACGTACACAGACACACACGCACCCAGTGTCTTTCACACACTTCTCCCAGTGGGACGTGGTCGTATGCAGTCTCTTGTCCATTTCTCCATCCTTTCAGGATTTGGGGCACACGTACACAGACACACACGCACCCAGCGTCTTTCACGCTCCCGTAGTTGGCTGTGTGAGTTCTGCCTCCCTTAACCACTAGGCCATGGGGTTGTTCCTTCTGTTTATTGATATTCTTCATACATTAATAATATTAATCTTTGTGAAGTAAGTTGTAAATATATATAGATTTTTTTTTTCAGTTTGAATTTCCAGGCTTTCTTTTTATCTCTAATAAGAAGTGATTTTACTTGTATGTCAGAATTGTTTGTGTTTGGGCTGGCTCTGTGTACAGTGGTATAGCCCTACTCATGAGAGGCTGGATCCTACTCAGTGCCCACAGTTCCAATCTTAAGTCCAGTCAGCCTGAAGCACTGGGTACATGTGCGAGGGCCCAGGATCTGATGGGCTGATGGGCAAGGGGGTCCTGGGGTCGGGCCGGCCGCTGCGGAGGGTGCTCATCTCTCTTTCTGGCTTTCTCTTTCTCCAGTGCACATCTCTATTATGAATAAAGAAAAATAAATAAAAAAGAATGTCTCTGGTTTCCACATCCGGAGGGACTTGACTTTATTATTTTTTTAAGAATTGTTGGGACCAGCAGTTAGCGTAATGGCTGTGTCGTTGAACTCTCATGTAGTCGACCGCGATTCGAGTCCTGGACCTGGTGGCTTAGACTCATGCCGGGCACGTGTGGGTGCGTGCCCAAGATCCCGGGAGGAGAATGGAGGAGAAGGGATTGCGGCGTGGCCATCCCCCCTGGGGTGTGATTTCTCGCTTTCTTTCTCTCTGTCTGTCTCTGTCTTTCTGGCGAGTACACGCACCCTATAGCAAAAACCTCTCCCCCCCCAAAAAAAAAAGAATTAAAAAAAATAGAATTGTTGATTTGATTTATTGTTATTATTTTTTAAAAAGAATTATGTTATGCAACTTTATTATTATTATTTAAATTTGACCAGAGAAAGACACAGAGAAAGCGAGAAAACAAGCTGCCAGGTCCGGGACTCAAACTGTGATCAGCCATGTGGGAGTCCAGCATCTTTAAACACCATGCCATCTGCTGGTCCTTATTATTATTTTTAAAAATTTGCTATAGAGCACATGTGCTCACCAGAGAGAAACAGGGTGGAGTGAGAAAGCAAGCTGCCAGGCTTGTGACTCGAACCATAGTCAGCCACGTGGGAATCCAGTGCCCCAACCACCATGCCACCCGCTGGCCCCGAGGGACTTGACTTTAAGCTATCCTTTGTTCTTCTCCCTTTGCCAGTTCCGGTTTCTCACTGTGGAATCGTGAGTACACTCTGGGAAACACCTGGCAGGAAAGATGTGGGACTGTTCTTGAGTAGATTTTGTTCTCTTTTGTCATAGGGGCCATATGCTTGTCAGAGAGAGAAATAGAGAAGAAAAGGAGAAATCACCCCCTAGGGTGATGGTCATGCCATAATTCTTTCTCCTCCATTCTCTCCTTGGGTTTTGGGCACGCAAACATGCATGTGGCGTGTTTTTCTTTTTCACTTTTTTTTTTTTTTTTTTTTTTTATTTTTGGCATAGGGCGTATGTGCTCGCCAGAGAGAGACAGAGAGAGGGAAAGTGAGAAATGACTCCCCTGGGGGACCGGCCACGCTGCTCTCCCTTTTCTCCCATTATCCTCTTAGGATTTCGGGCATGTACTCACGCACCTGCTGTGATTCTCGAGCTGCCAGGTCAGGGACTCGAACTGCAGTTAGCCATGTAGGAGTCCAGCATCTTAACCACCTTACCACCTGCTGGTCCTTTGATCAGATTCTAGAGTATTAAATGTCTTACTCACTTAGCTCTACTGTTTTCATCTTTGCAGTACGTTTGCATAGTATGCTCTACCTGTGAAGATTTCCTAGAAACCTAGTATCTCTTTTCTGTAATTGTACCTCCCCTAACAGATAATATTTAAATACTATTCAGGTAGTTTGTGGGCTATACAAAGATTTATCAATTTATTTTTTCTAGTAAGACAGGTATTGTTTCCAGGTAAACTCTTTTATTCTGTTCTGTTTGTTTGTTTTCACCCTATTTTGGGTGCATGTGCTCATTGGAGAGAGACAGATAAAGAGAGAAACTGAGAGATCGCCTTTCAGGGGGAATAGCAGTGCCGCAGTCTCTCAGGAGTTTGGGCGAGCAGGCGCATGCATCCGACGTGCTTTTCAGGCCGCCTCGTCCAGGACTTGAACCACATAGTTGGTCTTGTGGGATCCAGCCACCTTAATCTCTGTGCCACCTGCTGGTCCTTTTATTCTATTCTTCGCCTTCCCTGTAAAAAAATCCATTAAAAAAGAGTGCCCATCATCATAAACAAAATTAGAAATTTTAAAAACATAAGAGAGAAACAGGAAGAGGAAAATGAAAAAGTCCCCGAAAGCCTTGTGTCTTCCAATGTGAAGAGCATGCGTAAAGGGCTGGCCTGCAGCCCGTGGTTAAGGAAGCCACATCCCATGTGGCTGACCACATAGTTCAAATCCTGGCCCCAGTCCCTTGAAAAACATGCTGGGTTCATGTGCCTGCATGCCCAGCATCCCTGCAGGATGGAAACTTGGAGAAGAGCCAGCAGATGGTGTAGGCGTGAAGGTGCTGGACTCCCATGGCATGAACCATGGTTAAGTCCCAGACCTGGTGGCTTGAAACTCACTCCAGGCATGTGCATGTACATGTCCAAAATCCTGAGAGGAGAATGGAGGAAAAGGCATCGCAGCATGAAAATTAACCCCCTTGGGGGGTGATATCTCACTTTCTATCTGTCTGTCTGTCTCTGTTTCTCTGGCAATATACATACCCTATAGCAAAAAATCTCTCTCAGAAAAACAAAAGCAAAGAAAAATGGAAACGAAGGATCGCAGTGTGAGCATGCCCCCTGGGGAGCGCTTTCTCCACTTGCCTTTTCCTGTCTCTCTGTCCCTCTCTGGCAAGAGCACGCCCCCTGTGGAAAAGTTAAAATGAAAAATGGTTGCATGAAGTCTCACAGATTTTGATCATCGGCCTGCCTTATTTGTTGTAGTGAATATGGCTTTGCGGAGAAGGTGGTGGAGGGGATGTTCATCATCGTCAATTCTATCACCATCAAGATTCACTCCAAGGCCTTCCATGCTTCTTTCGAACTGTGGCAGCTCCAGGGCTACAGTGTCAACCCCAACTGGCAGCAGAGTGACCTTCGCCTCACCCGCATCACGGACCCCCGCCGAGGAGAGGTGACAGCCCCAGCCCTGGGCGAGGAGACAATGGGTAGATTCAGAGTAGGACTAACTCTTAAAGGATGTTTTTGCGTTGGGGGTTTACTCAAATGATCTCCATTGCTGGGAACCTCGGAATCCTTTCTGCCACATCCTTCCCTCAGTTACGCATCTCTGATCCACTGCTTTCCATCGTTAGGATTCCCTCCAGGAATGGAGCGAGTCTGCACCTCGCCAGTCAAGGACCCTAGAGCTTCCTGCCTTTTGGTTACGTTCACCCCCAGAATTAATGGATTTTGCTCTCTCTCCTTCCAGGTCTTAACGTTCAAGGAGATAACTTGGCAGACCCTTAGAATTGAGGCCGACGCTACAGACAATGGTGACCAGGACCCAGTTAGCACCCCGCTGCGGCTCATTACCAACCAAGGCAGGATCCAAATAGCCCTCAAAAGAAGGGTGAGTGCGTCTCTGTCCCCACACGGACTTCCGTCTTTCATTCTCCCAGGCAGCCTGGGGGTGGGGAGCCAGCCTCTCATCGCTTGGAACCTTGTTGGCCCCGGGAATGAGAGTTGAACGGGGAGGGCTGGTAGCTCCGTGTTGCACACTGTCCGCCAAGGAAGGAACATCTCCAGCTCCACGTTTGCCTCCTTTTGGAAACCGTGGTTTTTCCCCACTTATGGAAACACTGGCAGGTAGAGGCTCTTGGAAGGGAGTTATCGCCGTTTTTTGTTAATCAAGCCAACGTTTGTAGTCCCGTAGGAAACTGGCTCTCCAAAGTGCTTCTGCATGCACTGGAGATTGAGCAGCCGCCCCTGAAGCTGCGTGGGCAGCAGTCACCTTTGAGTACTGGGCTGGTACCGGGTGACAAACCCCATGTTCTCTGTGGCCCCTAGACCAAAGACTGCAACGTGGTCGCCTCCAAGCTGATGTTCCTGTTGGATGACCTGCTCTGGGTGCTGACCGACTCTCAGCTCAAGGCTATGATGAAGTATGCCGAGTCGCTGAGCGAGGCCATGGAGAAGTCAGCCCAGCAAAGAAAGAGCCTGGCCCCCGAGCCTGTGCAGGTTAGAGACAGTCCACGTCATGGTGGGGCTGGAGAGAGGGCAGGCCAGACCCCACTGTACCAGAGTGGCTTCTTTTGGGGATTTGTCACTTACCTCTGGGTGTTCCTAAGTTTTGCCCACACCTCCGTTTTCTCATCGATTCTGTTCGTTGGGGACCTCCAGTGTTTCAGGTACACAGTGGTAGCCGCTGGAGGGGAAAAGCAGAGTAAGTCTCTTGTTCCTGTCCTGCAGGCTCTCTATCTTGAAAGATGGACCATAGGGCCCGTGGGTGGTGTGGCGGTTGAGGTGCTGGGCTCCTACTTGTTGAATCCTGACCTGGTGGCTTGCTTTCTCTCTCTCTCTGGTGGGTGTATGTTCCCTATAGCAACTTGAAAATAACAATAATAATTAAATAAAATAAATAATTCTTTATTATTAAAAAAGCTGGAGCATAAACAAGTTGTCACACTGTGGTGTGATAAGCGTTGTAACAAGGTACACACTGCCCTGCGAGCACCAAGGGAAGAGGCATCTGAGCACAGGCTGAAAGAGGGCGTCGAGGAGGGCTTCCAAGGGGAAAGCTCTGACGTCAGCCAGCTAAGTCCTGGTGGTAAGAGCTAGGAGGGCAAGTTAACCCTCAGCACGCCGCTCCAGCAGTTACTAAACTAATCATAATCACGCTGTTTGGAGTTTGGTTTATTTAGCTGGGGCAGACCAAAGTGAGCTACCAGGCAAACAGTTCTAGGTGAGAGGGGGCCTCTTGGTAAGCTGTGGGTTTACTCAGGCTGGGCTAATGCTTAAAGAAGGTGCAGGAAGGAGCCTCTGAGGGTCAGGACTTCTCGTTCTTCTCTCTGTCACTCATAGATCACGCCACCTGCTCCCAGTGCCCAGCAGTCCTGGGCCCAGGCATTTGGTGGCAGCCAGGGGAACAGCAGCAGCAGCAGCAGCCGCCTGAGCCAGTACTTTGAGAAATTTGATGTGAAAGAGTCCTCCTACCATCTGCTCATCTCTCGCCTGGACCTGCACATTTGTGATGATAGCCAGTCCAGAGAGCCAGGTACTGCATGAAGCCCGAGGCTGGCTGCGCCATGCGGGTGGTCCGGATGCCTGGCTACCTCTGGGCAGTGGGGATGAGCTCTCTTTCCGGGACACTGTGAAGGGCTTCGGTTGGCTTCCCTTAATCGCAGTCACTCCATGGCCTTCCGGCCTCCTGTGGTAGCAGTCTGTTAGCGTGAGGCCTTTAGGGTGCAGCAGAACCGCCCGTCATGTGTAATAAAATGCAACTGTTGGCCTTGCCCTAAGCCCCACTACATCAACCTCAGGAGAGAGTCCAAGCAATGCGAACTGTTTCTTCCCTCTCCAGAATTTCTTGGGCAATGCTGATGCTTGCCAGAAGCTCCGAACCACTAGTGTAAGATTTTAGGAAAGTAAAATTCAGTATAGAATTTTCAGAGTCTCAAGTCAGTTTAAACATATGTATATATATATTTTAGCTTAGATTTTTGTGTGTGTGTCATGCTCTTCTAAAGCAAGGAGGTTATACCATGCCTGGTCATACCTAGAGCAGTTAATTACGTTACGTACACATGCACATTTATTTAGAGTAGGAAAGTAATTGACTTATTTCTTTTCTTGATGAGCCTTGGGGGAATCACTTAACCTTTTACTTAACCTTTTGAGCTTCCTCACTTGTGAAATTGAGTTAAATTGCAACTTACATATTTATCTCGAAGACTGTTGTTAGGCCCTAATGAGTTAATACACTGAATTTGGAGGACCTTAATTATAGGCAGATATCCAGTATTACCACCACTCTGCTGCTCGTTCCTTCAGTATTGTCTCTGTTCCCTTTGTACTCTCCTGTGCGTCCGGCTCTTGTTTTTTTTTTTTTTTTTTGAGAGGCTTTTGCTATAGGGCGCGTGTACTTGCCAGAAAGACAGAGACAGAAAGTGAGAAATCACCCCCCAGTGGGGATGGCCACGCCGCAGTCCCTTCTCCATTCTCCTCTTGGGATCTTCGGTGCACACGCACATGCACACGCACACGCACCCAGCGTGAGTTTAAGCCGCCAGGTCCGGGACTCGAACTGCGGTCGACTACGTGGGAGTCCAGCGATGTAGCCATTACACTAACTGCTGGTCCCTAGCTCTTGGTTTTTGACACTCACGTGGATTTTTATTTTCCTCTTGCTGCCTCTGAGGCCTATGTGTGCTTGTTAATGAGACCTAGACTCAGTTTCCTTGGGGGAGTTACCTATTCTCTTTCAGCTGGGTCACAGCGCTACCTCTGTTGTTGGCTATTCTGTAGTCTTGACGTGATTTATTTTCTTTTCTTTTTTTTTTTTTTTGAGAGAGCGTTGATATACAGTATATGTGCTCACTGCAGAGACAGAGAGACAGAAAGTGAGAAAACACCCCCCAGGGGGGATGGCCACACTGCAATGCCTTCTCCTCCATTCCCCTCTCAGGATTTTGGGAACACATGCACATGCACCCGGTGTAAGTTTCAAGCCACTGGGTCCAGGACTTGAACTACAGTCGACTGTGTGGGAGTCCAGCACAACTGTGCCACCTGCTTGCCCCCGCCTTGAAGGGATTTCTATCTCTGTCTGCTCCCATCCTATGAGGGAAGAAAGGAGGGATGATACAGTAGTAAAAAGACTGCTTTTACTGCCACAGGAGGTGATTTGTTACCCGTTCATTTTCATTTTGGAAGATGTTTCTGAGGAGTTTCTTTTTTTTTTTTTTGAGAGAGAGAGATTTTTGCTATAGGGCATGTGCACTTTCTGGAAAGAGAGACAGAGAGACAGAAAGTGAGAAATCACCCCCCAGCGGGGTTGGCCACACCCCAGTCCCTTCTCCTCCATTCTCCTCTTGGGACCTTGGGCACACATGCACATGTGCCCAGCATGAGTTTAAGCCGCTGGGTCCAGGACTTGAACCGCAGTCAAGTACATGGGGGTCCAGCCATGTGATCATTACGCCATCTGCTGGTCCCGCATTTTGGAAGTTGTTACTAAAATAATTATTTTATTTGGTTATTTCTTTAACATGTCATCTAAAGGCTTTGGGTGTTTTGTTGTTGTTTTCTTTTGGCTTGAACCCTTTCAGAAATTGTAGTCGAGAGCGCATTATTGGGAGTTTCACCTCATTGCTTAATTAGGGCGTTTCGTACTGTCCTCTTCGAGTGCCAGTGAGTTCTGTAATTCACACTAAGATGTGAATGACCGTGGCCTTCCCATTTATTTATTAAATTGAATTAATCTACTTAGTGGAATTTAAGAAAGCTTTAAATAAGACATTTTTAGCTATGGGGATAGGCCCCAGCCTCCCTCTCCCGTACCCAGGTGTGGTGTGATGGGGCAAAGAACAGGGAAAGTTTTACAACTTTTTGACTCTTTCACCTTGGGTTTAGGGAGACAGGGGAAGAGTGATCTAGGTTGTACAGAAAGGTCTTCAAGATTCTCTGGAGGTGGAGCCACCTGGTTGTGTGGTGGTTAGGGTGGCTGGATGCTACGTGGCGGCAGCACAGCTGAAGTCCTGGACCTGGTGGCTTGGAAAACACGCTGGTGCGAAGTCCTGGGAACAGGGAGAAAGGGAGAAGGGGTTGTGGCGTGACCGTTCCCCATGGGGCAGAAGTGCTTTCTCACTTCTTTCTCTCCTGCTCTCGCCTTCTGTCTCTGTGAGTTCATGCACCCTCTAGCAAAAATTTTTAAAAAGAAAAGAAAGATTATTACAACTTTTCTTCATGCATCTACTAGGAAATTTAAGAAGTTATTTTTTATTTATTATGATTATTATTTAAGTTTGCTATAGGGCATGTGCTCACACGTGCCCTATAAATTTTAAAATAACCAGAGAGAGACACACAGAGAGAGTGAGAGACAGAGAGAAGGCAAGCCCACTGCTGACTGTAGTTCAAGTAGCAGTGGCTGGGGGGGTCCAGCATCTTCACCACCACGCCACCTGCTGGCCCCTCATTTTAATTAAATTGAAATCGGTTCTTCAGCGTAGCAGTGGTGGCACAGTCAGTAGCATACAAACAACAGTGCTGGAAGCCACATGGCTGGCTGTAGGTTCAGATTCCAGGTTGACCCGAAGCACACCGTGTCCACTTGCTCTGCAGGGTCTTGACTAGCTGGAGGCCTGAGGGAAGGGGATTCCTGTGTGCGGAGTCCCAGTCAAGGATGTTTGTGTTCATCTCTCTGCCTCTTGTGTGCCCTTTTTAGCATGGTCTTTCTCATAAAAGAACTAAAGTAAACTTAAAAAAATTAGTCCTTGGGATCACCAGGGGGCGTGCTAGTTAGAGTGCTGTACTCCCACATGGCCAACCACAGTTCGAGTCCCAGACCTGGCAGCTTGGAAATCATGCAGGATGTGTGTGTGTGTGTGTGTGTGTGTGTGTGTGTGTGTGCCCAGAATCCCAGGAGGAGAATGGAGAAGGAATTTTAGCATGCTTTCTCTCTCTCTGTCTCTCTCTAGTGAGAATACACAGCCTATGGCAAAAGCCAAATAAATAAATAAATAAATAAATAAATAAATAAAATTCATGAGGAGGGGGGTGATTAAGGGAAAAGTATCTAAAAAGAGTCTTTAGTGGAGGGGATGATTATGAAAAAAGGTCGAGAAGCCAATCCGGGGTTGGTAGAAGTGACCCTACTGGTGGGAGGCACACCACCTGGAGGAGCACATGGCGGTTTCCTTCCCTTGTTTCTGTGTCGGCTTTTCTCCTCTTGCTGTGCATATTCGACTTGTAAGGCTCTGTGCTAGACACACCAGTACAGTACGGGACGGAATCTGGGAACCTGGTTTCGACCCTGACAAGAGTCGTGGTGAGGGACTACAGTTCTAGTATTGGGGCTGGGGGCCGTGATCAAGGCTGTGGGGTATGCCTGTGGAAACCTGGGGCTGAATCCTGAGGTTTGCAGTTGCTTTTGTCTTTCTAGAGATATGACAGCCATTTACGGAAACGGTGGAATATATAGTCGGCCCTCTGCATCCATACATTCAGCCAACCACAGATCAGAAGGGTTCTGCTGGGACTGGCCTCGTAGGCTGTGGTTAAGGGAGTGTATTCCACACAGCCTACCACAGTGTGCATTCCAGCCCCAGCAGCTTAAAAAACACGCTGGGCGTGTGTGTGTGTGCAGGCCCCAAATCCTGGGTAGATTTGGGTAGAAATGGATTGAGAAGGGACTGTGGCATGACCACATCCCATTGGCAGTGCTTTCTCCCTCTCTCTCCGGGAAGTACATGCATCCTCTGGCAAATAAAAAACAGAAACAAAAGAAGTGTGTGTTGTTGCTGACGTGTACTGTGTGGCTAGGCCTGTAGTAGTTGTATCTGAACTGAACAGGTCCTGACTTTTCTCCTCGTCATTCCCTCAACAGTGCAATTAACAGCTATTTATGTAACACTGTATTAGTTATTACAAATAATCATGATTTAAAGTGTATTGAATGGGGCCAGCAGATGGCGTAATGGTTATGTTGCTAGACTCCCAGGTAGTAGTATGTGGTTCGAGGCCTGGACTCAGCATTTTGAAACTCACACTGGGTGCGTGTGCATGTGTGTCCGAAATCCCAAGAGGAGAATGGAGGAAAAGGGATTGTGGTGTAGCCATCCCCCTGGGGGGTGATTTCTTGTGTTCTGTCTCTGTCTCTCGGGCCAGCACACACACCCAGCAGCAAAAAACTCTCAAAAAAATGTATTGAATGGGTTATGTGCAAATACATTGCTATTTGGGGGACCAGCAGTTAGCGTAATGGCTATATCACTGGACTCCCACGTAGTCGACCACGGTTCGCATCCCGGACCCGGTGGCTTAAAACTCACGCTGGGCGCATGTGCGTGCGTGCCCAAGATCCCGAGAGGAGAATGGAGGAGAAGGGATTGCGGCGTGGCCATACCCCCTGGGGGGGTGACTTCTCGCTTTCTGTCTCTCTGTCTCTGTCTGTCTGTCTGGCGAGCACACGCGCCCTATAGCGAAAATCTCTCCAAAAAAGAAAAAAAAAATTTCCATTTTGTATTAGGGACTTTAGCATCTACAGATTTTAGCATCCACAGAGGTCTTGAAACCAACACCCAAGGGATACTGAGATACAACTTCTTTCCCTTTTTTTAAGAGATTTTTTGCTATAGGGTGCATGTGCTCGGCTGAGAGACAGAAAGCTAGAAATCCTCTGGGCAGATGGCCACACTGCAATCCCTTCTCTTCCTGGGATCTTGGGCCCACATGCACACAGGCCCAGAGTGAGTTTCAAGCCACCACGTCCAGGACTTGAACCGTGTCGGCCATGTGGGGGTCCAGCAATATAACCATGATGTCATCTGCTGGCCCTTTTTAAAAAATCTTTTATGCACGCACATTGGCTATTGCAATGAGAAAAGAGGAAGTTGTCGTTGTAAGTCATATGGCATCATGGCTTTTCAGCTGCACTCGTGTTATCTGCTGGGCTTTGGAGCTGACCCTCAAGGACTTTACGTGCTTCACGTGGTGCTCAGGCTCCTTGTACCCTCGCTGCTATTCTCCTGTGCTTTCTTATAGGAATCTCCGCAAACAGACTTACGGGTGGCGCCATGCAGCTCACCTTCCGCAGGATGGCGTTTGACTACTACCCCTTCCACTGGGCAGGTAGGAGAATTCTGAACGGGGTCAGTACTAGCATGGCCCCCAATATTGAGGGAGATTTTGGGGGATCATTCTGATTGCCAGCCGACTGGTCCCAAGGACTAGCGCACACACTCAGAAAGATGTTGGGATGTCCCTCAGGATTACATCCTGGAGCCATTCAGTGGCGGCAGCGGCACAGCTAGCCCACATGGGACAGTCCCTGGGCTGGACCCCGGCATTCCCTTTCACACGCCTGCGTGCGCGTGCCCACGGTCTGGGCTGGCTGAAGTGGAATGTGATACGGGAACCCCGTTGGCGGTGCCTCTCTCTCTTGCTCATGAAAGAAAAAAACTAAAAGAAGAGTACGTCTTCTGGAAATTTGCAGGGTCCACTATTTGTTTTTTAAGTATATTGTTTCTTCCATGAGAGAGAGAAATAGGCACCCCCAAAAAGTCCTCAGGTCACAGTCCACCCCAGTTCCTATTTCTGGCATGAATCTTCCAGCTCGTAGATAGCTTTGAACTGCTCCAAACTGGTATAAATCCAGGCAGAAGAGGTTTCCCCAGAACAAGCTGACAGGATCCATGGTAAATGTCAGACCATTTAACTGAATGTGGAGGTTGGGACAGGGAACTGGAAAGCAGAGCGAAAGAGAATCGCCATGTACAAAGCTGAGCCACGCCCTTACCCACAGCTACAATGTACTTATCATCAAGAGAGCAGCAGGGGTAAGTAAGTGGCCAGTCTCAGCCAGCCTGGATTACGAGCACAGCACGCACAGGCCTGGCCTGCGCGGGATGGTCTTGTCATGTGGTCCAGCTGCTCCGCTGCTGCGCCTCCACCCGGCCCAGGCCACTGCTGACGAGGAAGTGGGAGCAGAGGCAGTGCCCGCGATGCTGCTTTTGATCCTACCCTCCGCCCGCCCCTCACAGCCTGAGAGCCTGTCTGGCAGTTCCTGGTCAGAGACGGTGGCAGTCAGCAGCTGGCCTTTAGGGGAGCCCGAGGGGAGAGTCATTTAGGAGTCCGGAGCTCGGGAGCTCCCACTGGGTAATTGTCCCCAGCCCTGAGAATTCCTGACTGGGGAGAGGAATTAGGTTGTGGACTCTGACTACTCTGACAGAAGGCAGAATCAGAACACAGGAGCCCGGTCTCGGGCTGAGCTTTCTGTGCTTCCCTGCTGCTCAGGTGACAGCTGCAAACACTGGGTGCGGCACTGTGAGGCCATGGAGACGCGAGACCAGTGGGCACAGAAACTGGTGATGGAATTTCAGAGCAAAATGGAGAAGTGGCATGAAGAGACAGGTCTGAAACCACCCTGGCACCTGGGGGTAGACTCACCCTTCCGGAGGAAAGCAGGTGGGTCATGAAGACTGGGAGGACTCCAGTTGTTTAGCTTCTTGCCATTTATCTTTAAATAACTAGTGGAGATAAAGCGATGGCCTAGCTTCCATGGTTGGGGAACCGTGTCTCATGGAGGGACATCAGTGGCTGTTTGTTACAGAGTCCTCTTTGTCCCTGGGGTAGCTGCAGTGTTGAAGAGAGGCTGTCATCATCTCTGTTCAGTATCGGCGGCCTCGGTCCTAGGGAGAGTATAGCTGTGAATTCGATCTAGGAGCTAAGCAGTGTTAAGTTTTCTTTCCTACATATAGCATTAATGATTTTCGGCACTGCACCTTCCTAATGCAATTGATAATGAGAGTCAGGGCCAGTCAGGTGTTGTGGCTAAAATGGCTGGATCCCCCATGACTGACTGACTGTGTGGTGAGTCCCGGAGGTAGCGGCTTGAGAAACACACTGGGCGTGAGTGTGTGTGTGCATGTGTGTGTGTGTACCCAAAATCCCCAAAGGAGGGAGAGATGCAGGAGAACGGACTATGGCGTGACCATGTCCCATAAGGTATGTTTTCTCATTTTCTCTCTCTCTCGCCGTAGAGAGCACACATACCCTATACCATATTAGAAGAAAAAAAAAAAAGAAAGAATTGAATGTATCTGATTCTCTTTCCTACCTTCTTGTTTTTATTTAGATTCTCTTTCCAGTCCTCGAAAGACCCCTCTTGAGAGAAGTTCCTCACAGGGCAAGCAGGCTGCCTTCCGGCCTCCAGCATGGAATCGCTTACGCTCTAGCTGCATGGTAGTACGAGTCGACGACCTCGACATCCACCAGGTGAGGACCGGGGACGTGACGGGAAGAGGTGAGCAGGTTCACGTAGAGGGCAGTTAGACAGTGTGAACAGAGCCGTGGACTCAGAGCGTGTGCACCGCAGCTCTGGGTTCATCATCAGTTCGGTCTTTTGCTTTCTGGGCACGCTGCTGAGATCAGGACTTGGGAGTTCCCGCAGTGTGCTCTGCATGCCCTGCTACAAACCTGTTGAAAAACTAGCGTGGATGTGTGAGGCAGATGCGAGAATTCCTGGAATGTGTGTGGAAAGCCCTGTGTTCCCCAGGACAGACTTGGGAAGGAGCTAGAGGCATTACACTTCCTCAGGTGAAACTGACGGATGTTCTGGGTGTCGCTCGAGAGACTGACAGTAAGTTTGACTGCGCAGGTTTCCACAGCTGGACAGCCAAGTAAGAAGCCGTCCACGCTCCTCTCCTGCAGTCGGAAGCTCCACAACCTCCCCACTCAGGTCTCTGCCATCCACATCGAGTTCACCGAGTATTACTTCCCAGATAATCAGGAGCTTCCGGGTAAGCATGGGGCTGGCTGTTTCTCCCGTCTGGCTCACGCTCTCCACATCCGTTAGCCTTGGAGCCGCTCGAGATTCCCGTTTGCCGTTAGGAGTTCTGGGTGTCTAAGTTGGTTTAGCACACCTCTGTTAGAGACTGTCCTGTATACATTTACCCTGCTGCTCTCTTGATGATAAGTACATTGTAGCTGTGGGTAAGGGCGTGGCTCAGCTTTGTACATGGCGATTCTCTTCCGCTCTGCTTTCCAGTTCCCTGTCCCAACCTCTACATTCAGTTAAATGGCCTAACATTTACCATGGATCCTGTCAGCTTGCTCTGGGGAAACCTCTTCTGCCTGGATTTATACCGCAGTTTGGAGCAGTTCAAAGCTATCTACAAGCTGGAAGATTCACGCCAGAAAGATGAGCACTTGGATATCCGACTGGATGCCTTTCGGTTGAAGGTAGAGCGATTTTTGTTCCTAGCTGCTAGCCACGGTTGCATTTTTCCCATGACTGTGATCCATGTTTCTGAACTATGCACTTGATGGAAGTGAGGAAACAGTTTCACAGTCCAAATGGCCTTTCACACGGGTGTTAGTGGTGAGATGATTGAAAGCAGAGAGAGTAATCGTAGGTACTAGAAGCTGCCTGGGGTGTGGGGTGGCAGGGGGATTTCAGGAGAAAATGACTTACAGACACAAGAATGCATGTAAGCCAAAGGAACAGCAGAGTAAAAATGATCATTGATGGGACCTGCCAGGTGGCATGGTGGTTAAGACAGCTGAATCCCACATGGCCGACTGTGGTTTGAGTCCCAGACCCAGCAGCTTATATAACGCGCCTGGCATGTGTGTCCAAAATTCCAAGAGGAGAATGGAGAACAAGGGATTGCCATAAGGCTATCCCCTTGGGGGATGATTTCTCACTTGCCTTCTCCGAGTTCACCGAGTATTACTTCCCAGATAATCAGGAGCTTCCGGGTAAGCATGGGGCTGGCTGTTTCTCCCGTCTGGCTCACGCTCTCCACATCCGTTAGCCTTGGAGCCGCTCGAGATTCCCGTTTGCCGTTAGGAGTTCTGGGTGTCTAAGTTGGTTTAGCACACCTCTGTTAGAGACTGTCCTGTATACATTTACCCTGCTGCTCTCTTGATGATAAGTACATTGTAGCTGTGGGTAAGGGCGTGGCTCAGCTTTGTACATGGCGATTGATTCTCTTTCGCTCTGCTTTCCAGTTCCCTGTCCCAACCTCTACATTCAGTTAAATGGCCTAACATTTACCATGGATCCTGTCAGCTTGCTCTGGGGAAACCTCTTCTGCCTGGATTTATACCGCAGTTTGGAGCAGTTCAAAGCTATCTACAAGCTGGAAGATTCACGCCAGAAAGATGAGCACTTGGATATCCGACTGGATGCCTTTCGGTTGAAGGTAGAGCGATTTTTGTTCCTAGCTGCTAGCCACGGTTGCATTTTTCCCATGACTGTGATCCATGTTTCTGAACTATGCACTTGATGGAAGTGAGGAAACAGTTTCACAGTCCAAATGGCCTTTCACACGGGTGTTAGTGGTGAGATGATTGAAAGCAGAGAGAGTAATCGTAGGTACTAGAAGCTGCCTGGGGTGTGGGGTGGCAGGGGGATTTCAGGAGAAAATGACTTACAGACACAAGAATGCATGTAAGCCAAAGGAACAGCAGAGTAAAAATGATCATTGATGGGACCTGCCAGGTGGCATGGTGGTTAAGACAGCTGAATCCCACATGGCCGACTGTGGTTTGAGTCCCAGACCCAGCAGCTTATATAACGCGCCTGGCATGTGTGTCCAAAATTCCAAGAGGAGAATGGAGAACAAGGGATTGCCATAAGGCTATCCCCTTGGGGGATGATTTCTCACTTGCCTTCTCTCTCTCTCTCTCTTTTCTCTCTCTCTGACTCTCTGGTGAGCACACATGCCCTATAGCAAACTTAAAAAACAAATGTCATTGACAATTCAATACATACCACCAAAAAGTACAGGTTAGAAGCAATATTGAATGTGCACAACATACTGTAATGTTAAATGTGGAAGACGGTGAGTGGATATGTTTATATCCCTGATTTGATAATTAAACACTATATACCTGCTTTAAAAATCCACACCGTACTCCATAAAGATGTATTAAAATCTTTCACATATATATTTATTTACATATATACGTACATATATATGTTGAAATTAAAGTTTAAAAAATGATGGAGTACCGAGATACTGAGATGCCCGTTCTGACTTGTGCTTCGTTTTCTCTCTGAAGGTGGGCTTTCCCCTGGAGAAGCGAGAGCAGGCAGAGGTGCATCGCCCCCAGGCCCTGGCTGTCTCTGCATCAGGCATGGTTGCCACCAACACACGCCATGCCCCACATTGTAGCTGTCCTGACCTCCAGAGTCTCTTCCGGGGTTTTGCTGCTTCGGAGTTTTTTCATTCCAGTTATGATCATTTCCCTAAGGTCCCAGGTGGCTTCAGCCTTCTGCACATGCTTTTTCTGCATCATGCCTTCCAGATGGAGTCCCGCCTCCCTCAGGCTAGCACCCTTCCTCCCCAGAGGCCCAAGGCTTCCCAGGATCTCTGGTCCATCCACTTCACCCAGATCTCCTTGGACTTTGAGGGAACAGAGAACTTCAAAGGCCGTACCTTGAATTTTGTGGCCCCCTTCCCCTTGTCCATTTGGGCCTGCCTGCCCCTCCGCTGGCAGCAGGCTCAGGCACGGAAGCTCCTCTTGGCCTCAGAGGGGAGGCTAAAACCATCTGCCAGCTTCGGCAGTCCTGCCCAGTCTGAGACCCTTGTCCCTGAGCCTGTATCCCACCAGAGGTCAAAGACTGAGCATGATTTGAAACGCCTGTCAGGCCTTTCGGAAGTCATGGACATTCTGAGCGAAGGCAGTGGTGGCGTGGACAACAAAGGGCCTGCAACAGAGCTGGAGGATGCAGCGGGAGTGCACGTGCTCGTACACTCCCCTGCCCACGTCTGCCTGAGGCTCGACCACTACCAGTACTTGGCTCTACTCCGCCTGAAGGAGGTGCTGCAGCGGCTTCAGGAGCAGCTGGCTAAGGACACAGAGGCCATGACTGGGTCTCCCCTGCAGGACCAGACAGCTTGCATCGGGGTCCTCTTCCCCAGTGCTGAGGTGGCTCTGCTCATGCATCCTGCCCCTGGGCCTGTTGATGCTGACTCTGCAGGCTCGGATACCACCAGCCTCATAGACTCAGAGCTGTCCCCTTCAGAGGATCAGGAACCGAAGTCCGATGCTTCTTCAGACCAGGGCCCGGCCAGCCCTGAGAAGGTCGTGGAGGATGGCAGCATTGAGAATCTGGATGGACCCCAGGAGAGGCCACATAGCAATGGAGAGCTGCAGGACTCAGGCCCGCCTGCAGAGCAGCTGGCAGGGAAGGGTCATGAAGCAGTCGAGTCCTTACAGGCCAAGAGACTGAGCAGAGCCCAAGCCCCCAGCTCACCCGCTGCATCGAAGCCCCCAGCTGGCAAGGATCCCGCTGTGAATGGGCAGGGCGAGCTCATCCCCCTGAAGAACATCGAGGGCGAGTTGTCGAGTGCTATTCACATGACCAAGGACGCCACCAAGGAGGCTCTACATGCCACCATGGACCTCACCAAGGAGGCTGTGTCCCTGACTAAGGATGCCTTCAGTCTGGGCAGAGATCGGATGACCTCCACCATGCACAAGATGCTGTCCCTGCCCCCAGCCAAGTGAGTGGTTCCCTGCTTCCCCCCGTCAGCCCTGCTTCCTCCTAGTTCTGCCAGCTAGATACAAGACCTCCCCTTGTGTGTACACGTAGATCAGGAAGCACCACAGAGCTCAGGAGCAGGCAGGAAGTGGCCTGTGTGGTTTTTTTAGAGAGATTTTTTGCCATAGGGCATGTGTGCTTGCTGGAGAGACAGAGACAGAAAGTGAGAAATCATCCCCCGGGTGGGTGGACATGCCACAATCCCTTCTCCATTTTTCTCTAGGATTTTGGGCATGCACGCACAAGTGCCCAGCATGAGTTTCAAGCCGCCAGGTCTGGGACTCAAACCATGGCCCACTATGTGTGAGTTCAGTGCCTTAACCCCTGTACCACCTATTGGTCCCAGGAAGGGACCTATTTAATGGGCAGTTTTCAGTCAATATTTATTGCTCCTTGAAATTAGATTGTTCTTTTACTGATTATTATTTTTAAAACATATTTAATTTTATTTGTCATTATTCTTAACATTTTTGCTATAGGGCCTGCATGCTTACCAGAGAGAGAAAGAGAAAGTGGGAAAGCAAGAAAATAAGCCACCAGGCCCAGGACTCAAACCACTGTCAACCATGTGGGAATCATCCCTCGGAGGTGATTTCTCACTTTCTGTCTCTCTGTCTCTGTCTCTTTCTAGCAAGCACTATAGAAGAAACCTCTCCAAAAAAAAGAAAGAAAGAAAGAAAGAAAGAAAAATACAGATCAAACCTTGTACCCAGATGTGATCTTGTTATTCCCTACTTTAAAACCTTCAGGCTCTTTCTTTACATCTTCTGAATTCAATTGGAATTTCTTAGTGTGGCATCATCAATTATTATGCAATATCATATGGTACTTTACAGTTTTCAAAGCATTTTAACATATGACCTTTTAGAGTCATTCAGTGGTGTGGTGGTGAAGGCAGCTGGACCCCACATGGCTGACTGACTGGTTTGAGTCCTGGTCCCTGAGGCTTGAAGGACATGCAGGGTATGTGGGACCCAGATGGAATAAAGGTTACATCACTGGACTCTCACATAGTCGACCCTTATTTGAGTCCTGGACCTGGTGGCTTACAACTCACACCTGGCCCATGTACGGGCATGCCAAGATCCAAAGAGGAGAATGGAGAAGGGACTGCGGCATGGCCATCCCCCCTGGGGGTGATCTCTCACTTCTGTCTCTCTCTCTCTCTGTTGAGCACATGCGCCCTATAGCAAAAACCTTTCTAAAAAAAAGACATGCTGGGTGCATTTTGCTGCCCAAAATCCAGAAAGGAGAATGGAGAAGAGATGGTGTGACCGTCCCCGGGGTGGTTTCTTGCTTTCCCTCTCTTTTTCTCTGGTGAGTGTACACACCCTATCCCAAACCAACAACAAAACAAAAATACACACACACACACACACACACACACACACGCAACCATTTATTCAAGGCTTTCCATAATCTGGCTGCAACTCATGTGGTACTGTGAAAAGCAGTAGGAAGTTAGGAGACTTGGATTCTTAATTCGACCTTTAACTGTGACCTTGGATCAGTGTCTTCGTCTGTAACGGGAAGGGTGGGATGAAGCAGTCTTTAAAGATTTATTTTCAGTGCGTTACACGTTTCCCACGCTGTCCTCTGCCTTCGCTGGCAGAGTCTACACTCCAGCAGGGCTGAGCTAAGTACTAGTCTGTTTCTGGCGGTTTTGTTTGTGCTGTTCCTTTCTTGCAGAGTGCCCTTCTCTGCATCTCTTTCACAGTCCTTCGTGGACCACCTCAGGTGCCACCTCCTTCCTCATCCCCTCATCCTCTGTGGCCTTGTGTAGCCTTTGGCTTGTGCCTCGTCCCTCTCTTAGACCATGACTTACTCCCTGTAATGTCTATACATGTATACATATGTATATATCCTTTCTCCTAATAGGCGAAATTCCTTGAGGGCAAGGGCTGCCTATCAGTTTATTCTGCCCTCACTCCTGCCACAGCCTTACTAAGGTGCCTTTCTTCAGTAACTATTTGGTAAATACTTGTGGAATGAATGCAGGTGGCTTCAGGTGCCATTAGCACCCGGGCATCAGGTAGCTGGTCTTCTATGTAGGGGATGACCCTGAGTAACCTTGGTGGGAGAGCTGTTTATGCAGTTAGAGATGTTAGAATAAGAGTATTCAGGGACCAGCAGTTAGCATAATGGCTATGTCGCTGGACTCCCACATAGTCGACTGTGGTTCGAGTCCCGGACCCGGTGGCTTAAACTCATGCTGGGCGCGTGTGCGTGCGTGCCCAAGATCCCGAGAGGAGAATGGAGGAGAAGGGATTGTAGCGTGGCCATCCCCCCCTGGGGGGTGATTTCTCGCTTTCTGTCTCTCTGTCTCTCTCTGTCTTTCTGGCAAGCGCACGCGCCCTATAGCA